ATTCATAACAGTAGCAAAATTGCAGTTATGAAGTAGCAACGAAAATAGTTTTAGGGTTGGAGTTCACCACCACATGAAGAACTGTATTAAGGGGTCTCAGCATTAGGAAGGTTGAGAACCAGTGACTGAGAAGATTTAGGAAGACTCCCCTGCTGTCCACATCTGCCTCACATTGTGCCCACAGCTTGCAAGAAGGGACTGCTTTTCTGCTCTGTGTGTCACCAGGAACCGCACTTTCGTATGAAAGGCCTAGCACAAAAGCACTTGGGTTGTCACACGTTACAATGCTTCAGAAACATCCAAAGTGATCATGTTTATCCTAGAGAAACAATCCGAGGATGACAACTCTCAAGCCTTCATTTCAACACAGAATGGATCTCCCCGCCTGAACCGAGCAGAGGGCCCAGCCAGGCCCCAGGAGGCCTATGACGTCGTTTTGCAAAGAAAAGAGAATGAGGGATTTGGCTTTGTCATCCTCACCTCCAAAAACAAGCCACCTCCAGGAGGTAAGGGTCTTGCTGTATCCTGTTGTCCTTCCTGCAATTCAACCTTTCTGATCCTCTCATTGGGGCTTATGAAACAAATTAGAGATTGTATGTAAATTGTCCCAGAGACTCTTCTTTTTTAGTATGGTGAATAGTTCCCATATATTCAAAATTAGGTAAGGTGAATCATGCTTTCTCAGGCTTCAGGTTCATCCCTAAAAGAAATCTCATTAGCTCAGTGGGTACAGGTTTTTTAAATTAAAGGTGTCTTTGTGTATCAGAAATGAAGTAAATGCGAGAAGCAATTGAGAACATACAAACAAAATTAATAGAAACATCTTGACCCAAGTATGCCTTAACTCATGTTACTTCCTAGCAATTGCCATATTCCAGTATACCCTTTTTAATGATAAGAATCATTCCTAACCTTTATATATGTTTCATTCTGAGGTAAGAAACTTTATCAAGACCTTTGAAAATGTATCTAAAAACCCTGAATGAGTTTAACAGAAAGTTCTTATCTAGGAAAGGTGAATGTGTATAGTTTCTCAACAAAGGAGGAATTGCCTTTAGTAGGTTCAGGCTGTTATTATGATCCAGCAAATTAAATATTTGTCTAGTCTTGAAATTTGTAAGAAGTGTTTTGAGGTACTGTCAAATCCATTCCAGCTCATAACCACCTTATAGTCAACAGATCCGGCACCATCCTTATAATCACTGCTCTGTTTGAGCTGCAACCACTGTGTTAACCTATCTCTTTGAGGGCCTGTCTCTTTCACTGACCCTCTCCTTTACCAAGCAAGATGTCCTTTGCAAGGGACTGGTCGCTCCTGAATGTGGGAGGGAAAAAAAAGGCTCATATAACTTTTGTGGAGCATTCTAGCTATCCTTCTTGCAGGACAGAATGTGTGTTCTTTTGGCAGTCCACGATAATTTCAAGATTCTGCCACAACACCCTAATTCAAATGCCTACATTCTTCTCCAGTGCTCCTTATTCATTATCCAGCTTTCAGATGCATGTGAGGCGATTGAAAAGGCCATGGCTTGGCCAGGCC